AGTTTTGTTGGGTTTTGGGGTTTGGGGGGGGGGGGGTCAGGGTGGAGATTGTATATGTATCTCCTTACAGCTAAGGCCTTTGTAGACAAGTGTTAGAATGATTGATGTCTTTGTGGATGAATGGGTGTGTGAATGTATTCTTTGTGCTGGGAGCATGTTTAGAAAATTTTGTAGATGTCTGTCCTGCTGTTCTTTGAGTGGATGTGTGAACTACTCTGTCTAACCTATGTCTTGTAAATCAGGCTATGTCAGTGTGAACCTGTAAGAAACCATCCATGCAGAGATGGTCTGAGAGTAACAAGGAGTAACATGAGAAGGTTGTGTACTCCCCATTAATTGCTTCAATCTGTGCATGTCTGCCATGCACTCCTTTTGTATCTTTACTGTTCCCTGCAGAAAGGACCTAACACTGCCCAGGGAGATGCTGGCTGGCTGTGGAGCTGGGACCTGCCAAATGGTGGTCACCTCCCCAATGGAGATGCTGAAAATCCAGCTCCAGGATGCTGGACGACTGGGTGAGGCCCTCTTTTGGGCTGGAGCAGTGGGAATGGATCTTACTTGGGTTCTTGCTTTGCTTTATGCACTGGTTCCTTTCGCTGCCTGTTTCTTGAGATCTCCTTGGTGTTGCAGCAGCCTTTAGAATACAACTCTCATGGTGCCTCAGAGGAGACTTCTGCAGTTCCATCATCTCAGGTCTTGCTTCAGGGGAGCCCCCAGGGACTCCTGTCCCAGCGTTTCTACCAGAGGGAATGACCTGGACACTGGCCCTGAGGATAACTTACAGTTCCTGCACCCCCAGACTCTTTCAGCAATGATAAAATTGATTTGAAAATACAATTTGAATAGAAAAACAGAAGAAATTTCATAGGGAGAATGACAAGCCATACTTTGAACTTTCAGCTCTGTGCTGCATGCGAATGTTCAAGATCTAACGTATGGTCTGGTCCAACAGGGCAGTGACTGCTATTGATCTGGTTGCCAGTGAAGAGGTTACCAGTGTAGTAGCGGGTCCCAGGGAAGCCAGGCACAGATTGTTGGGGTTGGGGGAGCTCCACAAAATACAAGGGGTCTCGCCCCTCCCAGTTCAGGGGCCAGTCTAATTCTTTCCCTTTGCTTTTTAGCTGTTCACCAGCAAAAGGTTTTGGGAGCAGATGGGCCAATGACAGCCTCCTCCCACCTACCACCAGTCAGTGCCTCCACCACTGACCGTACCTCAGCATTCAGGCGCCCCTCTGCCACTGTGATCGCCAAGGAGCTGCTGCAGATCCAGGGACTAGCAGGCCTGTACAAGGGCCTGGGAGCCACGCTGCTCAGGTGAGGAGA